AGCCCTCGCTGGTTCGGGTTTATCGCACTGGTCAGTGGTTTATGTTTTATTTTGTAGATGGAATGTAGATAAATCTAAACCTCGCATGACTGTTCACCAAAGTAACTTAAGATCTCTGGATGTTCTGACTTGGCTAATAATAGGTCCAACAGGACACAAATTCTAAAATAGGTAGCATAAAAGAAACAAAGTAGAAAGAGCGTCATTGTTCAATATTTAATTGATCTGTAGTACATATAAATAAATCCCCTCGGGACAAAGAAAAATAAATATTTAATTCCGTGGATGTCTGGTCTGTGGTTGTAGTGACATTTTGCCGGAGACATTAGCTTTGTGAAGACAAATGCACAGAGAAAAACAAAACAAAAAAGAATATACCACTGGACCATGAGGGGTCAAACTTTAAAAAAAGAGCGATCACAGATTAACATTTCATTGCATTCCCAAAATAATTAGTGATTTCAAGGCTGCCAAGAAGCTGGTTTTATAATCAATGTAACCTCCGGTTTAGTTTTTAAAATGGCTAGAAGAGCTGTGTACAGATGCAATCAGTCATTCCACCAAGCTGGATTTCTGAACTGCATAAAAGCATTTAAAAGAAGTGACATTCTGCTTCAACACTGTTAATCGAAGGGTAGAAACCATCAATTGGAAGAAGCAACTTTGTTGCATTCCTTTCTGTATTCTTTCACAAAAAAATCGCTAAACAAAATCCCTGAATGATCAACATTCTATGCATCTACTCTGGAATTCAGATAAAACCACCTATGTAGGCATATAAAAAAAAAATATCTGATGCAATATGCTCAAAACACAGTTAAGAAAAACGTACACAAATGTCAGATGTTGTTGGAAAAGTGAAAAAATAAATAAATATGAAATCTATCAATGTGATTGACATCTAATGTTGCAGTGACAAATTCATACCTGCAACATCATCTTTTTGGTTTATGGTTTTAAATGGACATAATTTATCTCGGATTCAGATTATTTCTAAGTGTTTGGTAAATAATCCTTAAATGATGGATTGATGGAGGTCGTCATTGCCTGTATTTACAGTTAGCTCTGCTGGAAATATGAGTGAGAATTACTTTTCACATCAATCTGGTCACTTCTTGATGAAAAACTATTTTCTCAGATATCCAAATTCTACTTCAATGATGGTGCCATGGGATATGCCAACACCAAGGATGTGAGGGGGCATTTTTTGGCTTTCAAGAACATAATATACAAAATTTTCTGCCAACTGATTTGGTGGATCTTGAAACACACTGCGTCAGAATATAACCAAAAACTTTTAACCACAAGTTGAACCAAGCTAAAAGCCAGTGGATTCTTAAAATTCCATGAAACTGTTTTGCCTTGCCTGCAGTTCTTTAAGTTAATGTGTGATTCGTGTGAAGAAACATGCCAAACTATAAATTCAAATCCAATGAGCATGATGATGATTTATGAAACTGCGAAAATATTATGCCAGCTCCACACGCAAATTAGCTACCTGCATAGAAATATGCCGGCAGACGTCCTGTGTGGGAGGCAGCAGGGCACTGAAAGGCTCCATTTACACGCATTAGTTTGACTGCAGGATTTGCACTGACAACTATAATTGCTCAACTACTCCATTTATACATTAGCCTCTCAAGCTGACAATCAATTGCGCATTACAAATTTCCTTCTTATTATATTATCCACTCAAATCATTAATTGTTTGGACATTTGTCTGATAATAGGGACAGGTTGTCCTCCTCACAGCAACTGTTCTGTCAGCGATGCCATCACTCAAGCGCCACAAATGTGAGCGCTTAAATGGCAGCGCTGTCAGAGCCATGTCAGAACTCAGATTTCTGATTGCCTGGCTGAGGGTAACAAAGCACGTCCTTGTCATTATGAAATGAGCACTGTAGTAACAGCTATATTTAGTGTCGGTGCCCTAAAGAGGTTCCCGTGTTGCTGTAGTCATAGAATCAGTGAGGCAGCAACGCTGCATGTGTTCACATAAATAAATAAGTTAAGAAACACTGGCAATGAAACATCATTTCAAACTTCAAATGTGACCAAGCATTTCCACAGAATGTCACACTGAGTAAGGTCTGAGGCATGTACTGTACGAAAGGAGAAAAAAAAGGAAAAAAATCTATCAAACTGTTTTTAATAGCATCTGATTGGCAAGCTGTCTTGGGACAGTTGGCAAATGGGCGGGCAGCGGAGGAGTTTAGAGGTGCTAAAGTTCAGGAAGGAGCGATGCAGCACCCTGTGTCCTGCCAACTGCCTTACAGTGGCACAATTCCTGATTAAGTCGTTTGACCCATGGCCCCCACCTGCCTTGACCATGCATTATATGGGGGGGCAACACTTGCCCTCTGAAGCTGCCTGTCACACCAGAAGGCTTTTGACTCATGCCCATCTGTCCTGGTAGTACATACATTAAGTGAAAGCCAAGATACTGGCAACCTGTCCAATTCACGAGTTCCTTGTTATGCGAAGTGTGAACATTCTATCAACAACCATTTCGATCAAGAGAAAAATGATCTATTAAGAAGTTATTCAGTAGTCAGAACGCAATAAAATTTGGAAAAATTTTATGGACACATTAATAACACGGTTTCTGAAAAGTGATATTATGGGATCTTTAGTGGGTTATGAATTAACAGAGTCACAAAAAGAATTACTTTAAATAATTGGCTAAATTAAGGGACAAATTAAGGGAACACTTCTCAGCATGAGTTTACATGCCTTTGCCATTACCACAGCAACCGAGGCAGGCTGGATAACAATGCCTAAAATAAATATGGCCTTATTACTTGCAAATATCAGCATGGCATGTTAGTCTAGAGACTGAATTAAGTCATACATCTGATTTGCTACACAGGCAGAAAACATTATGGGGGATTTTTAATAAAACAAGACATGAGGGGAATTCGATTGGATATGACGATGAATAAAGCAGTTAATCATTGCATTCAAGATTCTGATTCTGATTTTTGACTAAATTAACTAAAAATAATAGTGTGGCAATAAAAACAGACTTGACACGCAGATCCCTGAAGCCCCTTGCTTAGGGTCATGCATTTAGAGGGCGCTTTTATCCCAAGCTACTTACAATGCAGATACAACATTACAGTTAGCATCATTTGTGGCCAGAAACACAACTTAGCCTAAAGCTCAAGAGCAAATAATGTCATATTTTGTCCAATTAATTGCCAAAGATTCACAACAACACAGTGCGATTTAGATTGGTGGAAATTCCTGACATGACATGTCTGTTGAAGCTGAGGTAAAATATTTCACAAAGTCTTGATTTAATTTAGAATAAAACATTCATAACTCTCGAAGACCCTGAAGGCTTGTACAGATAGCTGAGGTGTAAACATACCTGACCTGGTTGGATGTCCAAGTAATGGAGCACCTCTTTAGCCATGACAGGTGTGTGTGGGGGGGGTTCAGGTGAAACGGCAGACAGTTCTTCGGATCTGTTCCTGGTACCAGGACCAGGTGACAAACCACCTACGGAGGGATGCAGGCTGGATGAAAATGTCCTCCATGCTCTCCACACAGCCCTGTTTGTTTTCCTTATCACTGGATTTGAGCACAAAATCATGATTCTAGAAGTGATCTGTGAATAAAAGAAGACCAAGCATTTAAATATCATAAGCAAAAAGATCGGATGAAAGGTTGAAAGATTGAGCTCTATCAATATACAGTAACTACTACCTGTAACTATTCACTTTGTAGGTGTTTTGATGTTCTTCTGTTTGTATAAAGAAGAATGGAAATGTTCATTGTATGACTCAAATCCGGCAAAAGGTATAATTTGTGTGTGCTAAATATCTGTTTTTGCATCCTCAATGATGAAGATGCAAATGTTGAAATAACTATTTAAATCAAAATAATATCATTTTCTTTTTTATATCCTCTAGATGTGGCTCAATAATTAACATAAACGTTTTGTCCATCAAAGTTAGCAGAGTAAGAGTTTCTAATGGGAGAACAACCACTGCATATCTCCCACATGACATTTTGTTCACAAAGCCAAAGAGAAAAAGCTGACATATATTTGTTCATGGCATTAAAATGACGACTGGTAAGGTTATAGCTCACAAGTTTCATCATCCTCAAAGAAATGTTATATCATGATTGTTATACTTTAATTAGAATAATCATTACTACCACATGTGAAAGTTTGTCTTTATGTTACTGTTATGTTGAACCAAGAAAAGCTTTATACGGACCCACTCCCCTGTCTTACCCTTAAATATTAGCATGTCTACAAAACATTGGCTACCAGCTTTAAGCTAGAGTTTGAAAGGAGCTTGTGTTTTGGATGCCATACCTTCTTAATAGCAAGTTAAGGTATCAGCTAAAGACGATTTTTTTGTTATCCTATTGACTGATGCCATTTCGGAGCAACACTAACATACACAAAAGCAGGATTCGTGGTGTGAACAGATTCTTTCTCTTGACCTGCTAGAATGGATAGATGCAGTGCAGTGTGTACATGCTAACAAGGGCTCGATTTTATGTGTCTTTTGCTCGGTGGACGTTGATATTGCTTAAATCTACTCATTAATGTGAATGAATAGATTCTCTTCCTTGCGAATATGTCTGCTGCCTCTGTTGACATTGAAGCACCGTGACTGGTCTTTTTAAAACTTGAAAATCGGGAAATGCGCTGCATTTGTTGCTATGCTACCATGTTGGACAGCCGTGCACATGAGCTACATACACAATCAACAGGCACACAACGCAGACTGAAAAATTCACTTCGTCGTGCCAGCAATGTGCAATCTACAAGCCCCGTGTCCTCCATCTAAGAAACATGCCCTCCGTATAGAAAACTATCTGCAGCTGTGCACGATCTTACCGTGGCCTAGCTCCACCTTCAGCAGCACGCGCGTGCAATGTGCGTCACTAAGGTCCACCTAGCGTCACGCAACTCGCGACCAATCCGCTGCCACACAGGAAGAGTGCTTGTGTTTGAAAATATTGGCGCTTGTCTTGCTATGTGTTACCAGCTATGTATCGCTAAGGAGTTTTTCTATGTTTCGTACCGTCTGCGTGTCACTACAAGACTATATCGTGTTAATCAAATGAAAGGTAACCACTAGTGGCAAAAGGTAAGACAAACTCAGACGCAGCACCTTCGACGTGACCACAACGAGGCTAACGTACGTTGTGGGAGACAGCTAGTTAGCAGGCCAGCTAATAGGTGTTTTCCAACCCAGCAGAGTTAACGCATGTCGTCATAAAGTAAAGTCGAATATTTACACTGTTTTCATGAACACGTTAAGCGTCTATTAGCTGACATAAGAAATATGAACTTTTCATGACTTTGGAGTTTGTTGCTCTTTTTGGCAACATTTGAATTTGTTGTTATTGGTTCTCATTGTCAGGACGCATCCATAGAATTTTAAAAGGAAAGAAGCTGCATGTCCGTATTAAACTGAGATGCTCGTCAGTTTTAAGTTTTGCCATTCAAGAGGCAAATATCATAGTCTGTAGACTGAACAAGATTAATGTGACAAAGTACCAAGGAGCAGTGTGTATTTATTGTTCACTTATAACCATATAACAGGTGCACACTGGACATGTCTGTATTGATATTTCTATGAGAGACAGTGTTGTTGGGCGGCCGTGTTCCATTTTTAAATACAGACCAGAGCAATTTAAAGTTTTTATGTTTGGATTTAGTGACACGTGAAATTTATGGAAATAATTGTATTAACTTGCTCAATTTGATAATTCAACTTCTCATTGATTTTAATTGACTAATCAAGATTTAGAAATTACCACAGGTAACCAAAAACCTCTCTCATAATCTCTCAAAATGACATTAAGAAAAAAAAAATGTAAAAAGCAGATTTTAAAAAAGCAGTACACCGATTAGTTGATTGATCAATGAAGATATTTAAATAAGATTTTTGCCTTGCTGTCAGGATTTTCGTTTTCTGTAATTGCATTACATTTGAATTTAGATTTGTGATATTGATCCTGTTACAAGAGCATTTCTCTCCTTTCGGCTTAAAACAAAAATGTTTTCCTAAAAATGATCCAGTGTCTGTCTTTGGAACTGAATTACTCAAGATGTCCAGATTAGAAGTAAAGCGCTTTAACATAAGGGCATAGTATAATTAAACTGTAATAGAAGATGAGACATTAACTGCAGATCTTCTTGGAGGTATTATATTCTTGTCAGTTTCTTTTATTTTATGATGGTAAAGTGAGAAATTCTTTCGAATAACACAAAATGCTCATTCACCTCAGATCAAATTGCATGTTGTTATCCAGATTTCTGTGCAATGTCTTATATTTGTAAATGAATTCTGTTATACAGTATTCATGTCATTTGTACTTTTATAACTGAAAATTTACATTAACTATTTTTTCCTTTTTTTTTCTTTACAGCAACACTTCAGTCATTTTAGGGAGACCAAAATGGCAAAGGACGTCTGCAGCCACGTGAAGGTGGTTGTCCGAGTGAGGCCAACCAATGAGAGTGAGAAGCGTGAAAACTGCCGAAATGTGGTCCAAGTCGTTGATAACCACATGCTCATATTTGACCCCAAGGAAGAGGACATGTCCTGTTTTGGGTCACAAAGAGTGAGGCATAGAAACATCAACAAGAAGGCTAACAAAGACATGAAATTTGTCTTTGACAATGTCTTTGACGAAAACTCAACTCAAGTGGACATTTTTGAGAACACTACTAAAGTAGTGTTGGATGGTTTGATGAATGGATTCAACTGCACAGGTAACATTTGAAAGACATATTAAACTGGTGAACATGCTTTAGGCTTGTGGGTTCAATGTAGTACCATTGCTGCAAATACAGCCCAGCATTAGAATTAGTAAATCAGTTTAAAGAGATTCACTGTAACAGCAAAATGACTGCATTAACGGGAAGCTTGAGCCTCACTTCCCCTGTCCTGGTTTTCCTTAATATTTTATAAGTGTCTGTGCCACCAATGGGTCATGACAGAATTTTCCCAGAACTGCTTTTGCATTCCCTTTCAGAAAGTTTTGCATTCTTTATGATTTGTAGGAACTGTGATGCGTAGGTTGAGTCCACTTATTATCGGAAATGCCCTGCTGACATTACAAAGGTTGGAAAACGCCGTGCAGGGACTTAGCAACAGTGTCTTGACCACATTGTCAGTTAATTGCCCAAAAAACTACTTCTTTAGTCACTTTTATGGTCCTCTTTATGTGTCACAGGCATGATTTAAGCAGTGATTTCTACCAGTCAGTAGCCTAAATTCATTTTTACTTTTTTATTCAATAGTAATTATTTTAATAATAATAATTTCTAAACATGACCATGGTTAGTCCCAAGTAAACCAAGCCTTCCCTTTTTCATTTTGATCTTCAGAGTGTACTGTAACTGGCTTATTACTATAACTGCCAACATTTCATTAGATTCTATTTGTTATTAAAAAAAAAAGGGAAGTGTAAAGTCATGTTTTTATCATTATCTGGAAATAAAATTTAGTTACCATATTTGTAGCTAATACACCTACGATAGCTACAGCCTTTTATGTGCAAAGAGATAATTAATGACATTCAATATTTCAGACTCTTTGCATATTCGAGGTGAAATTAATTTTTACAATAAAGTTGGCAAACTCTCAAAGCGCTGAAAACGCCCAATCTATAGACTGAATAGAAGTAATCGGATGTCTTTTTTTTTTCACCTGAAGTATTTGGTGATGTGAAGAAGGCTGAGATTTGACCCATAACTTGGTCATATCAAGTTATGGGTCATATATAAAACTTAACTGAAATTGAAATATTTTGATTTAGAATCTTGAATTTCCTCAGTGTTTATCACTTGCTTACTGGTAATGCTCCATGTAAGGTGTTAGCAACTGCTGGCATAAACACTGCTGTTATTCTCTTCTCCTTCATTTGTGTTTTTTTGTGGGGGGTTGCAGTGTTTGCTTATGGTGCTACTGGAGCGGGGAAAACGCACACCATGCTGGGCTCTCAAAATGACCCAGGGGTTATGTATCGTACAATGAAAGAGCTGTTCAAACGCATGGATGATGCCAAGGAGGAGAAAGAGTTCACGGTGGCGTTCTCATACCTTGAGGTGACAATCTCAGTATTTATTAATTTAGTTTTGTTTGTGTGAGTTTGTTGATGTCTCTGTAACTACAGAACGTGCTAATTTTTGTGTGAAAGTAAGTTTCATACTTTTAGCAAAAGTGTTACAATCGCAATATTTATCTTTTCCCAAATGTCTCACTGTGTGTCCTGCAGTTCAGTAGCAATCACACTTCAGATGGACTTTTGATTGTAATCTGCACCCTGAAATGTTAAGCTAAGCTATGTAATAGTTATACTTTTTGAATTTCAACAGGTCTACAATGAGCAGATCAGAGACTTGCTGGCTAATGTTGGGCCTCTTGCTGTCAGAGAGGACAGCTCCAAAGGAGTGGTTGTTCAGGGGCTCACACTGCATCAGGTTGGTCGCAATTTATTGATGTAATAATTCTGTAGGTGGCATTTGAATCCTTTAAAAAAAAAAATTGCTCCCATGCATGCACTTCTATTTTAAGATTTTATGTCTGCCTAAGGCGTTATAATGTCATTTTTAATGAATAAGTGTGTTTCCTAAGCTCTTTTTGTGTAGCCGGTGTGTCACATATGTGCATCCCAATGTTACCCCAAAAAATTATTGCCTGTGTCTTATGATCTTTCTGTGATGGTTCTTTCATACAGCCCAAATCTGCAGGGCACATTCTCGAGGCTTTGGATTCCGGCAATCGAAACAGGACTCAGCATCCCACTGACATGAATGCCACCTCTTCAAGATCCCATGCTGTGTTTCAGGTATTTCCGTCCTCCTTTAGTTACACCTCAGTGGCCAACAAGGCTCTAGCATGGTGGGATAACTTCTAAGAAAACAACTAAAAATGACCATTTCTAAGCAAAACATGAATGCATATTCTCTTAATGCAAACTGTTCACACTTGGAAATATCCTGCATCACCCCAAGCATCTAAGAAGGGCTTTTTTCCCCCTTAGATTTATTTGAGACAACAAGACAAAACTGCAAGCCTCAATCCTAATGTCTGCATTGCTAAAATGAGCCTGATAGACCTTGCCGGCTCAGAAAGAGCCAGTGCCACCAACGCTAAAGGGGCTCGCCTACGAGAAGGTGCCAACATCAATCGCTCCCTCCTGGCCTTGGGAAATGTTATCAATGCTCTTGCTGACCCAAAGGTTAGTTTTTGTTGTTTTCTATATTTTTTTCATTGTACATAACTAACATACCACAGATAACAATTAATATGGCTGAAATAACACTTTACACTCGTGGTGTAATGACAGCTTTGTCCAGTCTTCATGATACCGCAAAAAACGTCACGTTGCTTAAACAAACTGCACTGCTGTTGATTTTCATGCACACAAAATGAGGGAATTAAGGCTCAGGATTAACAGCATTAATTGATATTCATGCTATTATAAATGCTGTCTACATCCATGTCATTCTCAGTGTTGTAAACACTGCTTGCTTTTCCAAGTTTGTTACCCCCCAGTTAAAGGGTCATTCTAAGAAAACTTTTTTTTCTTCTTTTTTTTAATTCTGTAGTAAAAAAAAAAAGAAAATAAGGGAAACTGCAGTCTACCTCTGAATGTTTTGTGTGAGCATGTTGGATACTTGTGTTTGCAGTTATGTACAGATATGTTTGCTCTGAAAAAATAATGTGAAAGTGTAACTTTTTTTTAGGCATCTGCAACTTCAAATGACCTTATCAATGACATCTCATGTTTGGTTGTCGCATGAAAGGGATTCATGGAACTTTGTTTTACATTATGAAATTTGTGTGCATGTATAGGAAGTTAACCACTCTGGTTTCAATGTTAAATTTGGAATTTGGGCAGAGGTATGTCAGCTGAACATTTGTGCTTTATTTAATTCCAGTTGCATAAATGAATCTGTCTGCTCATTTTACACACCAGACGAGACACTAGTAGGTCACATGTATTTAAGAAGTACTGTGCTAACCTACATTAATCAAAAGCTACTTTTTTTTTTCCTTTTTTGACTGAATGTGTGTTATTCAGTCAGCACTGTCGGGTTTGTTTATACTCTGCTGGTCATGGAAAGTGTTGTGGTCATAAATCTATAGTTCCGCTCGGGCTCCAAAACCCACCACAAAGTTCTGTCCCATCTCCATGATATTAGTGCGGGATTATTTACTGCTGGCACACAAGGAATTCCGAATGCTGTGGCCACTGTTTATAAGAGAGAATGTCGGCACTTGTGTCTGGGCTGCTATGCCATTCATGTGATTGCAAAGAATGTCTCCTACATCCGTTTGGGCCGTTCAGCGTGTCATCTTCATGTTGGTGCTGCACAGAGTATTTTTTTGTTGAAAGCGTTTTGCCCTAGGCGGTGGCTCAACATACGCAGATACATTTGAAGAAGCTCCACTTAATTCCAGCTTGCCCTTCAGTCCACACAAAGCCGATGTTTTCCGCCCACAGGGGGGAAATGGGGGTCTCAAACAGTTGTAAAATCTGGAATTTGGTAGCTGCAGTCTTGTTTTAAATTAATGGAGGGCAGAAATGATCAGAATACTGTTGTGTGGTTATTTACATTTCAGACGTGGTCGGCTTCCTTACAGTAGAACATGTTGCCACAACAAGTCATTGTGGAGTACTTGTTAAATTTTCTCAACACCTGGCAATTTTGGGTTTAAATGATACAAGATTTGACAGCAGAAACTGGGATTTGCATAAACACTCATTCCATTGAGGTTTTGATTCACAAAGACTACTTCTTAAGTCTATTTTTTCCAATTAAATCATTACAATTGTGGCTGAGTAAAAACTTTAATTGTGTCATACTTATTATAGCAAGTGTTTAATCATGTCATGCATATTGTAGAAGTATGTGTTTGTGTAACACTCCTCTCAGAAATGGAAGTGCTTACTTTCACATGCATTGTTTGAAATAACATTGAGCGCCTGCTCTTGTGAAAGAGTTTCCCAAATCCCACAGTTATCCTGAAACCGCCCTCGACCTGACATAAGCTAAAATGTAGATCTCTGAATCCATCTGCAAAATCCTTTCTTTCTTTTGTTCAGGCACAGCTGTGGTCCCTGAAGGAGATCATTTTTTCAGTCCGATGCTAACTTTTCTTAAATTAACTTCCCAGCATATGTGACAGTGTGACCAACCTTAGCAGCTGTAGAGTTTATCTGCTGGGGTTTTTAGTGTGCTGTATTCAAAAGCCAGCTGCACAAAGAACTTCAGCTCTGAACTAAATTGTGTTCCCTTTTAGGTTTTGTTGTTCTTCCACCGAACAGTGTTAAGGTTTTTTTTGTTTATTTATTTTTTATTTTTTTACTCCAGATGAAAAATGCAATGTGCAGGGATACGCCTAACATTTGTGATTGCTCCTTTGTATGAAGCAGGAGTTTGACAGGACTGGTGAATTCCTTGATTCGGTTTTTGTTCCTTTCAAACCTCTATTTGATGTATTTTCAAAGTGAACACAATGGAAATGCCAAGAGTTCTCTTTTTTTGTATTTTTTTTATTCATGTTTCTGTAGATGATACTAAGCAACCCGCTCTCGCCACACATTTTGGGCTGATCCGAAGTGTTCTGATTTGTTTCAGAGTAAGAAGGCCCATATACCATACAGAGACAGCAAGCTAACAAGACTACTGAAAGACTCCTTGGGGGGCAACTGCAGGACGGTTATGATCGCCAACGTTAGCCCCTCATCCAAGTCGTATGATGACACCCAAAACACACTTAAATATGCCAACAGGGCCAAGGAGATTAAGTCCACGGTTAGTGCTAAAGCTTTTATGTGGTTTTATAGTCATTAATTTTTATATACCAGCAGTGATTCCAGTAGGCTGCATATGCAAAACGGTCGTAAATCTTTGCGTTTTTCTCTGTTCTCCAGCTGAAGAGTAACGTTGTGAGCCTGGACAGTCACATCGGTCAGTACGCTGTGATATGCGAGAAGCAACGGCAAGAGGTAACGTAAGACGGCCAGCACGACCTGGCTTAATGAAAAAAAGAAATTCTTTTTTATTTATTTTTTCTATTTGGACTCTCACTGTGAACACTGGCTCACTTCTGACTGAGTGATTTTAATGCACTCTAAAGATTCTACAGCTGAAGCAGAAACTTAAAGAACATGAGGCGAAGAGCGCAGTGCCTGGAGCTTTCAGCTCAATCTCTTCCCAGAATCAAGCAGAGTTCAAAAGGTAAGCATGTGGTGGGATTCACAGTAACTTGCGGCATGTCAGCTATGGTTTTGTTGTGTCGTAAAACCTTCAGTGTAAACCCCATTAATGGGATGAAGGTGGAAGGACTGTAGTCTGTAATTGGGAATTGGTGTAATATTCTGTGGTTTGGTAAGTGCTGCTGGTTTAGTGAAGCTCTTCAGGAGTCGGGTTTTAATTCCTTTTTCTGTGGGATCAACAGAGTTTACATAACATTGAGGATATATTGAATTGATTTAAAGTTTAAAGAATAAATAAGTTGCTTCATGGACTAACACGAGATGAGGTGTGTGGCATGATCCTGCTGTAGTTGTATTTACACATTCAAACTGGTGTATATAATCCTCCCAAATCATACCCTGTTAAGGGTGCTCATGATGCTAAAATAATTTGTTAAAACAACACATTTTTTTTTTACATTTTGATTAGTTTTACCTTCATTTATTGAAAGAGGATGTCAGGCATTTAAAAAATTCTCTCCAAACAAATATGCATGAAGTGATCATTTCCATAAGCCCAGTTCAAGTTATGCTATCATTGTGTGTATTGTATTTAATTAAGTGGCATCACTGAATAGATTTTATGTGATAAGCAGAGGCTTTCCTCTCCATCCAGTTTCACCTCTCAGTTGAGGTTTCTCAGGTTATTCGGAGTCTCAAAGGGATATACAGTCTTTAAAGCATGCTTAGAGCCTGCCTCTAGGTGTCCTGAGCTGGGGGGGGATAAATCAGACATCACTGCCAACTCAATGCACACTGGTTGTGGTTCTAGCTCAGTGTCTGAAACCCTCATTCTGTCCCTAAAGGCCCCCAAGCCCCACGTGAGCCAGTTCTATCCTTTGTTTCCATAATCTCTGCCATTATGTCAGTATTCAGAGCTGATGACAGTATGGTGCAACACCCTTGTTTCTTATAACAAAAAACGAATCCAGCTACTTCATTGCACCAAGGAGACATTTTGAATACAGCAGCCCATCTTCAGGCTGTGGGTCGTCCTTCAGATTTTCTTCTGTCATTGTCGATGACATCTTTATATTTTTCACCTACAACCATTATATAAAATGAATTGGCCTTTTTTTGGTTGGTTCCTGTTACTAACCACTAGTTTCATTAGTCCCATATCCATTACTCGCATGTTCCAAATCAAATCAACATAGTGATTTAAGGTCCTGGGTTACACCTAAAAAAAAGTCCCTTTTTAATGAGGCTCATTTATGTTTATATAAACCGTTAAAGCTACTGCTTTCACTGTTTCCATACACTTACAATATGTTTAATGTGGGGCTGGGCAACTAAAACGAAAATGATTCATTCAATTTAATCATTTTATTTAGATGTCTCTTTACCATTTTACAAAATTTGATTATGCTGTCAATGTGTATGTTCCACAGCATACTTTCCAGTGAGATTCATTTTTATTTACAATTACATAAGTATATACATTACTCATCATTTTCAGCAGAATAATGCCTCATCTTCTCATGTCCTTTCTCACTTACATTAACATCCTGTGGGGCTGCTACAGTTGCTCTTGAGACTGCAGTTAAGTCCTTTTGTATTTGGTAAAACTGTCTGAATTTATGTCCATATCCACATTTGTGGCCCATCCACAAAAGCACAAACTCTTATTTTTTTCATCTTACTTCCTCTTTTTCTTTGTTAGCATGATATTGTTATCTAATATTTCTTTAAAAGACTCAAATATTACAACAGAAGTGGTCAGGTGGTCACAGCATAGCCCAGAAAGCCTCACCTCTGAGCATGTTGGTTTGGTGTTTCTGTGTGTAAAGATCGATCCAGGGTAGCATGCATGTGTGTGTTGGTCAGTAGTTAGGCCTCAGTTGTAAAGACCCTCATCAACAGAATCAGTATAAATAAAATTTGAACTTGACTTTGATATCGTGTTATCAGCCATTTACCCAGTTATTTTCTATGATGGCCTTATTCTAATATTTTTTATGGCACATTTTGAGATAAAAAATGTATTGACATTTCCATTGAACACCAAACACAAGCCATTCTATCAAACTCTCTCTTTATCTGTCCATATTGAACAAATGACTACATTAAACATTTATGTGCATTCAGCTTTATTTAGGAAAATTATGATGATTAGAAATTTCACAATTTGTCAAACTGAATTATACTTTTCTTTTTTTTTCCTCCTCTGTGTGTCACACAGTAACGGCACAGTGAGAGACACGGTCATGGAACCTCTGGAGCTTTATTTTTTATGGAAAATTTGTTAATATTTTGTATAAGACTGCTATTTCTGTTTGAAAACATTCAATGCAACTGAACATATGCAGCGAGAAGATGCAAGTATCTCCATGTTTACAGGATTGCTGATGTTTATTGGTAGTCAGAAAGTTTTTCAGTCGCTCTGTTATCTGAATGCAGAAGTTTGGGACCTAAGGTGGAATCTGTCTGGGTATTTGGGCTGGGGGGCGGGGGACGAGAAAAAGCTGAATGAGCCTCACTCCCACATACTTCATTCACCGGCATCAAAATTCACAAACCGCACAGACAGAGGCTCTGAATAGAGGCTGCACGCTTCTAACGCTATTAAAAATTCAACAGTCTAGCAAGGCCACAACGTCTCCTACGTCACTGGAGTTGCATTGAAGAGTGCAGTCACATTTCAGCGACAGCTCAACAGCCTTATTTACCTGCATGCCTCCTCTGACTCTCCTGCTGCTTTAATTCAACAAGACAGTCACTTCCCTCTAATCAGAGCATGACCTCATCTCTGGTTAAGGAATACATTTATGCATCATTTTGCGAAGAATGTTTCTTGCTGAGCATTAGTAAAAAAAAAAATGGCAGCATTGGATAATAACCCAAAGATGAATGGTTTGTCATTAATTATGGTAAATAACAATTGTAATGTAGGCCTATATCATTTGTAATTTCTAACAGAGTGAGATGTTAAATGGAAATTATAATGTACTTATTGCTCAACTTACTCTTAGCTTGAATCCTTGTGGAAATGCCCATAAGAAACGCACTTAAATTTTATCAATGTTTAATGGGAAAAGTGTGTCCTCTCATCGCAGAGGACATCCCAGTTTGTCCTCTAAACAGCTGAAAAGTCAGGGTCAGAAGGACCTGCCTTTGTAAAATGAAACGGAAAGCACTTTAGTTTATACTCCTTAAAAACAAAATGTTTGTCAATGGGATTTTATCTTCTTTAATGCCTTTGCCCTTTAGGGTGTCAGAAGCTCTGCAGCACATCTTCTCAAGCCGTGGCCAAATTAGGCGAGAACAGCTGGATCTGGAGAGACAACTGAAGGAGAATGAGCTGCGCCAGCGCTACAGCGAGGAGGACAACCTGCAGGTCCAATATTTCTGTGCCAAAGAGAAGACAGAAAAGGTAGCTGATGCTTACGCTGCATGGTCTTTTCAGATTCCATCATTCCTGCAGGAAAATAGCTGCCGAGTCATCATTTTACTTTAGTTTTCTCTGCTTCTCTATTTACACCTCCTGAGGAGAGGGAATGGATCACTGCTCATCAGTTCCTGGCCCGATTATTCCTACATTTGGGGTTGAAAAGGGATTTCTTTTGAATAGTCCACTGTTATCAAAACAAACTCAATTCTCGTAACTTTTCTACAGGGTTCGAATTTTCAGGATTTTATTTGAATAAAAGGCATCTCTGAGTAAAGAAATCTGCATGTTGTTTCAAAGAAATCTTGTTAAAGTTTTACGTCCTAAAGCTCTAATTATTCAGACCACATGTATAAGTAATGCTGTACAACACCAGCACTAGCTGACTGTTTATTACATTGAAATAATCTTTTATTGCTGCTTTCAACAGGCCACTTGTAAGCACGAGCGGAAGATTGCCAGTTTGCGCACCCAGCAGCAACACATTTGCAAACGTTTGAGGGAGGCACAGGCGCGTTTATTGGAAAATGATGGTTTGCTACATCGGCTGGAAAATGAGATTAAGTTGTTGAAGTCCAACGATCAGACATCGGAGGTAAGTGGCACTCAGTGGCGTTCATATTTAGTGGTGTTGTTTTATCTATTTCTTTCCTTTATTTCACCATGGCAGAGGAGCTCTTCTTTTTTTATATATATATATATATATATTTGTTTGGGTCTTCTTCATGATTTCATTTCTTTGTATTTTTTGATAAATAAAAATTGCCTCAATGTTTAATGTCCCCACTGTCTCAAAGTTATGTCAGATTTAATTAGGAACTTTTATCATTTCAAAGAATTCAAACAATGGTTTGAAAACACGATGGTGAAATATTACTCAGAAATCCGATTTCTGGATGGCCAATTTAACCTGAATACCTAGCATGTGGACAGGGTGACGTGCAAGAAGACAGATGATTAGATACCAGGAAAAACTTAACAATATGGGTCACTTTCAGCAAAACTCATTGCTGACTGTTTTTTGTTTGTTTATTTTGGAAGGTAGGCTGTCTCTCCACTGGTGTCGTGACTGTCTTTGTTTTCTTCCCATCTGTTCTCTCGGTAATTAGAACCGTGCTCATTTTATTTCTCCAGCTCACTCGTGGATCACTGAAGAGAATAAATCAATAGCCTTTACTCATCCCTCACACAGCAGCCAGTTACCTAAAACCATGTCGTGTTTTTCTTATACTTTTTTCTTTTTTGTTGCTCTTTTTTATCCTTCCTTCCAGGAACTGACCCAGAACTATGACGCACCCAGCATTCAAATATTCTGTTGTTTCATAGTTTCTTTACGTCAGAGTTCCTTTTTTCTCTCCCTTTCTCTCTCCTCCTTCACCCTGAGCAGACAGCTTTTCTGATGAAACATGGATGAACACTGAACTTTGTGTCCTCTCCCTAGCATAACGACCCCTAACCAATGTTTTCTGTGCAATTCTGCCCATTAGATAGTAGATGCATCAGATTTTTGTTCCCTGAAGTCACCCTGCCTTTCCTTTGCAGGTCTTAGAGAAGGACCTGCGTTGCCACAGACTGGAGCTGCAGGTAAATGATCTCAAACAACACATCAAGCAGATGGTCAATCTCACCACGCTGCAGGATCAGGAGAACAAGCGCATGCAGAAGTAGGTTGACCATTTGCTTCTTTTGAGCTGTAACTACAGAACATCTATTGAAAGTATACTTCACCTCAGTCTCACCCCCCTGGTTTTGCAAAGAAATTAGGTGTCTGAGGAGACTTTTTCAATTGCATTTCAGAATGGTGAACATATTACTGCCCGCCTATGGCCGACACCACGCTGCCATGCGAGGGGCTGGGTTGGCCACAGTTGCAGATGAGACAGAAAACCATGAATTGGAGCACCTCGTGTTGCGGGAGAGAGGCGTGGTTTGGGCAGACCAGGAAGGGGCGGGGCAGGAGCTGAAAGGTGAAGGGGCTGGTGTTGACGCGCAGGAGACAAATGAGGTGGGAAGCGTTGGGCTCCGCAGCGAGCTGGCACCCATCCTGTCTTTCTCATATCTGCAATACCACCAGAATAGCCCCTGCAGTAAGTCATCACACTCGTTTTACCCTCTTGCTTATTCAGCATATTAAGAGTTGGGGCAAATTAAGGGGATTCACATCATGAGTCAGTTTTGCACATTTTGTTTCAACTCATTTTTGCCTCGCTGAAATTTATTTTAACATAACCTGTCAGCTGACTAAAGAATAAAGGAAAGCATGATTACAAAATGTTCAACTAACAGAAACAGATGTTTTTTTGTTTGTTTTTTATTGTTAAAAGGTACACTTTAAAGGCACATCACAGTCTGCCTCTAATTTATGAAGCAAGGCAAACAAAAACAAAGTGTTCATGAAAAACATTTTTTCCATCTACCATGACTATTTGCAAAGAACAAACATGTCTGCTTGACTACATTGGGAACAACGACTAGTTTGTGTCCACTGTCATGCAGAATGAGATAGTATTTAATTTGTATTTCTTAGGTTGTTAAAAAAGAGAGAGAAATGTTGTCACCGGAAGTGCAGAATATGTAGCAGCTTAACATTTTTAACTTAACTTTAACTTTAATAATACTGATGATATTTTTTCTTAAAGTTGAATAAAATGTATTTTAACTTTGAACTGTGTTAGATTCCGACTCATTTTCAAAACTAATTGTACTCAAACTAAACAAAGGTTTTGTGCTGTTCAAATAGGGATTTGAGTTACCATAAAAGGCTAAAAAGTCAAACTAGAGATTGAGGTCAACTCTTAATCTAAAAGTCTGCTGTCATCTGAGGTACGTCAATAGAATCAGTGTGTTTGACATTGGTCCAGGTCCAGTGTGTTTTTGTGAGAGCCATGAGACTGCATGTTTCATTTTTAACTGTCATATCCGCATCACCTAGCAGCACCAGACCATCATGACTTATTGGCCATGACACAAACTAGAGCTGAGTATGGCCAACAGTGCACTCTTGCAATAGATTCAGGTGTTTGTCCAGGAGTCAAGTCTGCACCTCTCCCTCTCCTGTTTGTTTTTTTTTAATTAGGAGATCTTGTTGACTTTTGATTAGATCAATTGTCAGGAAAACAAAGAATCTGATTACTCTTAAATGCGGATATTAATGTTAGCCCATGGTGAGTCATTTAAAAGATAAGATGTTTGTGTATGAACCAAAACATTCTACTCTAGCAGCACTCAGCTGTTTTGAGTTTTCATTTTGTTCTTTGTTTTCAAATCTTTGCTGCATTCACTGTGTAAATGTTTGGCTTTTGCTTCAGGTCAATTTTCCTGAATGTTCAAGGATCAAGTAACTTTTTATTGAAATAGCATACTTAACAAAGAGTTATCAAACATTTTGTGGAAAGTGTTCTGTCTTTTATTCTTTTCTTTTTTTTATAACCGTAAAATAACTTAAGAGCTGCATAAGCTTTCTGTGTGGCAATTGTGATGATGTGTTGCTTTGAGTTTGAGACGATGCTCTTTTATTCTCAGGTGCAGAGAGACACACCAAAAGAGCATCATTGTGCAATGCTGCTCCATCACCTAAAGGTAAATCCTCTCTCCTCTTCCCCATCCTGCTAACATCCTGTAGTCATCAATCTGAAACCGCTGCACACCCATTCATTTTCCCACCCTCTATCAATCTTTTATTTTGTGCTTTCTCCTCATCACCTTTTACACACTTTAACGCACTTAGGCAAATACCCTTTAACTGACAGTTCTACACTTTATTGTAACATGATACACAAACAATACATTTCTATTTAAATTGACATATAAATTTAAAACCTTGAGCCAGCCTAAAATTTCACTTTCCTTTTTTTTATTATTTAGCTGCAAAGAAGTTGCTCAGAGCAGTAAAACACACAATAAAACTCAGACATGTAATATAATTTGATTTATAGTTGCGCTGCACAGATTCTCTCCTGGCCAAAACTTGAATAATGAAATGATGTGAATACTCATAAGAGTATTTTAATAGAGAGAACTCTTTACAAGGAGAACCTTTGGGAAAAGGTAATACACAAACATTTGTGAAATATGGCCTTTCAAATTGGCTGTAATGATATTTGCTGCAGATGGGGCACATTTCATTGAAGCATATTGTGGGAAATGGAACTTGAGAGGAAAATACTTCTGCCAGATGACCAGAGTTTCTTCAATAGAAATGAAACATTAACACTCCAGGGAGTTTGTCACCTCCACTATTGGATTTCTTACAACTTACTGTAATGAGTTACTCCCGTAGAACATTAAGTTTTGAAAGTTTTTCTGAATATAAAAGGCCCCACTACCACAGGTTGGTCCGTTTTACCAATGTTTATACTTTGCAACCATAAAAGCTGATAAAACTATCATTAAATTATTCAGCTATTACCGTTAAGGCATGATATCAAAACTCGGTGTCTTCCACAATCATGGAAAAGCTCTCATTTTATTTGAACAGCCATAGAAAATTCCTGAAAGTTTTGGAAGAGTGGTGGAACGTTCTGTTGCTGGCACAAAGTGGTGCACAGGCTGGGTGTTCTGGCCATGCTTGAATTGTAGTTATTGCCTCGAATGTGGCTACAATTAATCATTGTTGGGTTGCGGCTGCCATGAGAGGCATGTCTGCAAATACTTAAGACTAACATTTTTGGGAATTCCCAGTAAAGTGTGAAGTTCAAAAGCATTTGAAGAAATTAGTTATTTTTAAGTGATTGGTATTAGTTCTTAGGAGAGAAGTTCCTAATTAAAAACCAACACAAAGGGTATTTTGTAACTGGAGTATTGATGCTTTTTAATTAGTGTCAACACTAAACCCAGCAGAAAAAAGGCCCTTCTGTGTCTTTGACTTAAGTGTTGTTGTTACAGCTTTGTTCTTGGAACATGGTGCCATGTCTCTTTTCTCAGAGCTGCTCTCTTAGTGGTATTGCTTAATGTACTGTGCCCAACATTTAAAGGTGGAGCTTCACAGCCAAAGTGTTCTTATCCCCCAACTCTTGGATATCAAGAACGTGGGACCCAATAGAGATGCACACAACCCCAGTGTTTGAGTCGAAGAAAACATGAAGAGAGGGTGGTATCAGTCATTCAGTCCTTCTTACCACAGGGATTATGACTCTGGTGGGCTTGGCAGAGCTGTCTGGACCCATGTGCGAACCATAAAGCTGACAAAGTAAACAATGTATTTGCAAACACTTCTGTTACTCAACCCACGGCGGGCTCTCCTCCCTTCACTCAGAAAAGAAAGAATTCTGTTTATACACTTTGGAGTATACAACTATTTTCTCTCCCACCATTTCGTATTGGACCTACACTCTAACTCTGCCTAGACATTGAACAAAATGCACGTTAGGATCCCTCTGTGTCTAACACATGACTTTCACTTACAAATCAGTTGTTGGTCATCACTGCTTTAAATCAGATACATTAAGTGCCATGCTTTTTGCCTGGTGGACAGAACACAAACTCATCAACTGTGAAATTCATCCTTTCTCTCCCCCTCTCACCCCTGTTTGTTAGAAACCCATTAACTCCCCTGCCTGGAAACTGGCGGGGAGAAGCTAGCCTAGGGTTCCTGCTCAGTGGCAGCTCTCTCATGACCTTCGGCCAAATTCAACCTTACCACCATCACTGTTGTTACCACTTTTAAGTTTTGCACAAAATACATCCATAAATACAGCGCTAAGCGGGTTGGGCCAACCATAGTCGCAAAAAACATCCCAGAAGTCCCCTCTGTTTTTGCTACAAACTAATATATCCACACTGCGAAACACCTCTAACCTTGCATCTTAATGGTTTTGCCTAACAAAAAAAAGCTTACCCTGAAAGAACAAAATGATCGATAAATCAGTGGCTCAATTTACAGATCATGCAAATTTAGACAAATTAACTTTAACTCCAGAGAACAAAGTGACCCAATCTAGAAGAACAAAGAAAAGACTGGTCTTTTATTTCTTCTTTCACCTTTCTTTATTAATTAAACGTAATTCTGTTATCATGCCGAAAAATATACTTCGAAAGTAAACCATGGCAAAACAATGTAAATCAGATAGCCAACTTGATTAGTACCCGCCCACACTGTACCATAGATGTTTGTTCCTGTTTCATGCGAGTTGCCACACAGTCATTTGTCTTGAATATCTATAATTGATTTGCAAATAAAACTTTGGGGGCTGAAATCATGTGCAAACAACCAGTCGGCTGCAACAATTTTCATACCCTGACAAATGAGTTGGGTTAAACAGAGGGCGTGTATGTTGTTCATTTGAATGAGTACTCTCGACCCCCAGTCCTTTGTGTTGCTATAATCCGCTGTACTATAGAGCAGCATGCCTAATACTCATACCCACAGCTTATAAAGGTTTTTCTTTTTCTGGGCATATATGTCTTAAACACTAGCCTTTTATCAATAACTTCATATTGGAAAATTATTTTAATTGCAAAGACACAGGATCATGAAAGTTTAATCAGCTATTGCATCTCTGTCTCCGCTCCAATACTTTCTTTTTTATTTATACAACATAACTGAAAACTGCTCGGTTATAGACTGTCTGACTCATGCTTGCATCCTTGAAAACTTCCGTGTTCATCTTGTTTTCTGTGTGGAGCAGCTAGTCTTACATGTGTCTCCTTTTTGCAGACATAAATGCACGCGGAGCGAATGCAGCTTCACCAGCTGTGCAAAATCCTTTTTCAGTCACCAACCAAGTATTTTAAAAAAAATGATACAGGTAGAAGAAATGTTTTTTTGTCATCAAAGTGGGCTTTTATGTAGCATTCAGACAAACTCCTCTGATCTCATCCTGATGATGTTTGCCTGTGCCTCACTGCCTCCTGAGCTGTTAATGGTAGTCACTGCAGCATGTTATGAGATATAGCTCCACCCTGCAGCCTGCAAAGCCAATCAAATTTGATCGGTTTTAGAGAGGGTTGTGGTTTTGAAAGAACATTAACCCTGTGTGGGCTGCCTTATAAAAGCAAATTTTACAAACGTGATTTTATGATGGAAGCATCAGCGCTTTACATTTTAGTAATCATTATAACATGTCTTTGCATGCTTATATTGATATATCTGATTATTTTCATCAACCCATTTCCCACAGAGATTAGACGGAGGCACACATTTTCTGTTTATAACGGATATACCCCCTAAATTCTCCCCTCTACTTAATTTTTAGTGTTCCTATTTGCTTCAAATGTGCATTAGATTTGCGTTCTCCTCCCTTCCACCTTTCGTTCTCTCCTATCCTCAAATGTTTTTTCTCTGTCTGTCTAGCATCTAACCCTCCCAATCCCTCTTGAGCTTCATTCATGAAAATGCAGATCCACAGCAGGGCAGGAAAAAACGTCAACAGACGTAAACTCCCCTGCTCCACCAACCAGAAAAGGCGCACTATAAAAAACAGGCAGCAGCAACCAGGCGACCCTAATTCAGTGCGGCTTCTACCAGAAATAGCAACTCATGCATGTATTAATCCCCTACTTGCCAAAAATATGTGATTGAAGGAACTCTGCTACCATTTATTGCTGGGGACAACTCCTCTGCCACAGAAAAAAGGCTATTTATCACCCTTTCCTCATGCGGAGCTATCTCCGAAGTCTGACTCACATTTGCTAAATATTGCATTTGATATTTAGGGAAATGTATAAATCAGTCCTTCACCTTTGCATTTCGTTTTCTCGCTTCCTTTATGTGCTGGCATTTTTTCCGTTTTTAGCCTCCTCCCCAGCCCCCACCGCACCTCTGTAGGAAATGCCATGAGTGTAATAGTGCTCCTAACGTGGTGTCGACATTGTGATTTAACCACTTTCTGCCCCCCAACATGCACAATTTTCTACTTGCTTTTGAAAGAACCCAAATAAATGTAATTTATATCATGTTATTGAAGATGAAAAAAAAAGTCCTATCTGTTCCAGTTTGAATTCATCCAGATGGATTGTTAGCAGGTCCACACATCATGCATTAATATTTAAGGCTCAAAATGTTGACTGGCATTCCTGTTATCAATTAGTTTTCTCACCCTAATTACTGCTAATTGACACTAAATTAAAAAGCAATCCCACACTACTTTCTGTCGTCTTTCAGACGTTAGCAGGTTGAACAGTTATGCTGTTTGCATGTTTTCTGGACTCTTAGAATAAAGTACCACGGCCATAAATGCCTTGTCTTCAGGTCTATTTAAAAAATGTAGAGCTTGTTCTCTGAATTATGCATGTCACTGCTCTGCTCTGATATTTTAAAGTTTATTTTTATATATGCAAGGGAGGGACTATAATGTTGAATTGCCTTGCGCCCCTCTGACACGTGTGACCCCACAATAGTGAAACTTAAGGGAGCAGCCGGTCTCATTTTTACATTGTGGCATTCATTCAGGTTTCACTCTTAAGCCCAAAGCAGGCGCTTAAGCGCTTATTACTGATTAAAGATTGATCATGTCAGACTGCAACATTTGTGTACTGTTTCCCTCAATACCTTTTTAAAGTTTCATCATTCATAATTGAACACAAAAACATACCGTTAAAAAGAAATACTAAGACTTGCAATCCGACCGCTGATTGTCTGGCTTCCTGATGAATTCAGTCATTGTAAATCTCACCCCATTCACAGCCCTTCTGGCCTCCAGAAAAATAATGAAAAAGGCTACATTCTGAAGTTGATAGTACTGCATATTCTTCCATCTATCTGTTTTCTATTGAATGTCTGGGCGTGCGTCACAGCATGCTCGGCAGACATGGCCAAACCTTCCTTTCCTCAGCTTAACTCTGTCTCCCTGGCTTCAGCCCAGTCATCCTTCGGAAAGAGCTCATTTCCATTGTTTGTATCCACAATCTTATTCTTTCAGCCATCACCCACAGCTCCTGACTGTAAGTGGGGACATAAAAAATTGATTGACCAGTAAATCAACAGTCTCATCTTCGGTCTTAGCTCCCTATGCACCCCGGTATATTTGTATGGCATCTGCATCTCTGGAAAAGTGCAATATATTGATTGTTGAACTGAAAATCCAGTAAACTTGATTTGACTTAAAAATGATGAATATGAACTGTGGCAAAGGGGCACTCCACTCTGCCAGTGCAGAGGAATTATTCAGATTCTTATTCTGAACTGCTAAATAACATCCAGTGTTTTGAGGAGCTCATCCATCACTGAAGCCCTCCATCTGAAGAGTTCTGTATCAGTAACCTCAAATTAGGGATTAGGGAGCAGGAGAGCCCACTTACAGTTTGAAGACGCTTTATAGGGACCCCCTTTGAGTGGATCCACACTTCATGTGTTGCCCAATACATGATGTACCAGTCCAGGAACCCTTTGAACTTTAATAGATAAGGTGATGTTCATTCCATTTGCATTGTACCATAGTAAAACATCATGTGACATTTGAGCCTAAAAACACAATGTCAATGCCATTAAACACTAAACATACAACGTGACCCATAGTAAACACAGGATGTGGCCCACTGGGATGTTGCCTTTCCAGTTTACTCAGTTTTCATTCCAATTTCACTCTCATCACCAGTGTTCTAATGTTTACTTCTTGATAAGGACACTGGGCTTCTGTTATCTTTAGAGGAAATAATTTGTCCTTTAACAGTCCCCTTGTTAAAGACAGCGAGAGCTTGTTTCTTAAATATTAATTATCCTTCACAAAAGGAACAACGGTGGTTACTTGAAGCGTTTCAGATAAAGAGTAGTTTTTTTTTTTAACTCACAGAATCTGTTTAAACAACCTTTTCTGAATCGGTGGGAATTATTTGACCCCTTTCCCACTAAGTTACACCTTTAACACCAGAGGAAAGACGAGCAAAGAAGGACAAATACATACATCTTTAATCCAGATTTTAAAAAAGCTGTAGTTGTACCTTTACTGTAACAGAAAGCTTTAATTTCCTAATGGACAAGGACCACAAATATTTGACTTGTGTGCTGTCTTTGTGTCTGAGAGCGTCTTTATGCTGCTTATCATTGTGCCATTTCAGTTTAATTGACTCGTCGCTGTATTGTTTGCTTTTATCTTAATAAATTGTAATTGTTTGCCTGTTTTTTCTAGACATGGGAAATCAGCCTGACGTGACACAAGATAGACCTCGAATGCCCATCAGGAGGAATTTATCTAAGTTACTTCCACCGCAGAGCCCACGAACCATTACCAAGGCCCATGTGTTCGAGGAGGACATCTCTCCACTCCAGGGTACACCAGAACCTGCACAGAGAACAGTTAAGGTTCGGCCACTAAGCTCCAGCAACATGGATCCGAATGAGACCTTTGAAGTCCTAGACACAGACGATCAAACTGTCGACAACGCAACCATCATAATAAGCTGCGGTAGTCCGTGTCAGCCGTCAAAGTCCACAGACTTGTCAGGACCCAGTCACCATCGGCATCTCCCCAAAAGCACTGAGGGACACCAGATTGCTTCCAAAAGGTGAGCAACTCATCATGTCAGTCGCAATAGAAAGAATGAGTGTTCATTAAGCCCCACGTACTCGGCTGCCAGCTTATTGCGCTTTCATCTGAACTGTTGGGTTAGCCTGCTCCATTTTCCTGAAATTGTTAGCTGTTTACAGAAGTTGGAGTTAAACAGCCTCGTTGCTATTTGTCCATCTCAGGTGATCTGATCGCTATCTCCGACAAAAGATCTTACCACACCAAGGGATGTTTTGAGATGGTTGTTCAAGCCACACGTAGGGAGAGTCTAGTAACACTGTGTCAACAAATCTGTCCTGTTCCACATCAAAGTGCTGTACGCTCAGCCTGCTGCCTCTTACCTTTCTAATGCAAATGAAGAATTAAAGTACTTAGAGCTATTCATTTGTGTCAGTCAAAATACATGCTAATGTTGGGCCTGATCGGGGCTCTCCCGTGAAATGATAAGCTTAAATACAGTAGAGTCGGAGTTTAGTTTGTACAACGTCAAATCAATATTTTCCGTCAAAAGCCTGTCGCCTGCATTAACTCCCTCACCCTCCATTTGCTGCATGCTAAATGTTTCAAAGCTCTCAGGCTGTACTGCAACTAAACCACCCAAAGGTGGAAAATCCACACTGTCCTTATTCACGACCAGACTGAAACTCGAGTGCAAACACTAAGTGTTCTCACACGCAGCAGGCTCGCAGTCTGGAAGAGTAGCTGAAGAGGCTCAAGTCCACTGATCTGAGCAGCATCTTCAGCCGGAAGTGAAAACCAGAGAATGGGAATTTTCGCTTCGAACGGACGATCAAAACAATGATGACAGTGATCAAAAAATAAATGTTCCATCCACCTAACGCGTTATTTTTTTATCCTAAAAACGCCGCCCACATTCCTTTAATCTCGGAGTTTGATTTTGTATAGATATCAAATGTTTTTGTATTTGATTCCTGTCTGAAAATGTTAACACATAAACTTTCCGCTGAAATTTCTGCTTTTCAGACAGCACATTTCGCTTCTCCATGATGTGAGACGAGCAAAACCAACTTACATGGACATGACGTCTGCTGCACAAGGAAAGCGAAAATTCAACCGGTAATGCTCTGCAGTCGTTTATTTATTTATTTGTTTACTTTGTGCTCACTGGTGGTCAGTAGAGATCATGAGGAACTGTCTGTTTTTGCCTTCAGAAGCATGAAAGAAGACTTAACGCAGGGCTTCTCCGCACCGAAGCGTATTAAAAAAGACCCCTCGGTGGCCCAGAGGCCACTCCGAGTGCATCGTTTTGCTGGTAAGCATCAAAACAGGAAAGTGCACCTTCTCTAGAAATGATCTGGAAAGAACCATAACTCGCACATGTACAACCACATGGGTCAGAATGGGCGATTACTTAGAGCTATGGGGAGTTAAGGAAGTGTTTCTCTGTTTGTTCATGACAGTCTTTGTTTGGTTTCTGCCAGGTTCAGAGAACATGCCTGGCAGAGTTGTGCGGAGCGTTTCAGAGGGGAATCTCAACCTCCTCCAACCTCAGAAATCCAAGTCCATTTTCTATAAAACCTCCCAGCAGATCAAACGGGTGGCCAAGCGGATGTGAGGCCGCACTGTCCTCACCTCTGCCCGTTTTCACCTCATTAACACATCTGCCCATGTTTGTCTCAAAAGTTAGAAAATAGTCTGTTGTGTAGATTTCTCCAGCCGAAAGGTCACTGAGAGGACCACAGGAACTGTCCTTTTTTTCAGGCAGCAAAGGTTTAAAAGATTTTATAAAATCATTACATAGAAATTAGTCGTCTGTTTAGGTAAATCCTGTCATTTACAGATCTATGTACATTCTTTTCATTGCTTTAGTTTTTAATGTTTTTCATCAGGAAAACAAGTTTTCACAGGTCTAAAAAACGGTGATTGTATTTTAAATGTCCTGGGGCAGCTAATAAAATAAAAACTGCTCTACTCTGAGCTGTTTTATCACTTTAGTTTTAGTTGTTATTTGTATTTTGTACAGTACATGATAGGACTAATCTCCCATAATAAAAGTGCTTTTTACTGAATCTGTGGCTGTTTTTCTAAAAAAATAAATATCCTTCTCAAATGGAACGTCTTGTTTTTGTGCGCTTGCTTATGGATGTGGTTTTCAATAAAGTTTCAGTTTCGAGGTGTTCCAAAAGTAAATAAATTACATGAGATGGGCTGGGTAAAGTGGGAAAAAAAAGAATACAATAAAGAGGACCGCTGCAACTTTCTCAGCTTTTGGTAAGTAAATTCAATTTTAGGGAATAGTACTAAACGTACTCTTCTTTCAATGGAATAATGCAAACTTTGATTTTACTTGGACATAGTACTTTCAGAAAATGTGAGCTGTCGAATGGCATAAAGCTCATGGATGAGCTATTTCAAATTGCCAGACATTTCAGACTGAAACATATCCTTGTTAAATAGTTGATAAGTAAATGGTTGCTCTACAGGAGTTTGCATTATTCTTTCTCCACCCACTTTATTTTTTCTTTCTCTTTCTGTTGTCTCACAGAAACATTTTTGTTTTCATTCCTGTTTTTTTCCTCTGAACTCTTACTTTGCTACTAAATTCAAATTCAAAAATTAAAACAATCTTTGTCCTCTCATGTACATCCCAGTTAATCCCGACTGCAGAGACCTGTAGAAGTGCGGAAGTTGCAGGATCTGAGATGCTGGCCAAAAGTTCGGAGGTAAAAGGTCAGTGTTTCATGGTTAATCCTCTATATTACAAATCCTGAAAATGTACAGACCAAATCAACTTAAAGTTTTACAAACTATCAGAGTCTCGGAGTGGGCTACTTTTTATGTGATCTGCTTCATTTCTAAGGTATGCGATGTGTCAGACCACCATCATATACAATGCCGTGACCCAAGCTATTCCAAGAAAAAAAACACCCCGTGCATGATGCTCCCTCTGCCATGCTGACGTATCCGTATGTTTTTTTAAAAAATATTTTCTTTGTTATTCTTTTTTTTATTTAAGGTTTGCAATAATCCAATTCAAATTGTTGACAGAGCCATTTTTTACCATTGGGGCACGTTATGCCCATGTGTTGCCGGTTATCTTACATATTAAAAAAGGTTTACATTAAACCTTAAGTGTTGTTAAAACAAAATTGTTAGAATTATGCAGCAGCAGAGCTGACATAAAATGAGGATTTAATTAAGCAGAAATGGCTTAAAATGTTTGTAAATGGCTGTTGATTTGATAGAATATGATGCTTTTTCCTCATTTTCATATTGCATGAAGGTAAACTTGATGAATGAAATGTTCATCTGTAGGTCAAATATCCTTTATTACTAAATATGTTAAATTTAGCCCTTTTAGTTTTCATTCATAAGATCTTTTTGGCTTCAAAATTATCGTCTGAATAGGCTGTTGAGGTGCCTTCAACGACGAGGCAAACAGCTATTAAATACTCCTTTTGATTCACATCTTAAAAACATACTCCAGTCTTATCCTGGTTGCATTTGTGGTCTGAATGAATGGACAGGATCACTGGGAACAAGCTTTTATTAGAATTCTCGTGTAAAACAACAAAGTCAGAAAAAAAAAATTAAAAAACTCCCAGATCCATTATGAGGGTGGAACCTCATTGCTCTGTCTGGAGAGAACTAGACTTGTCACTTTGAATTCAGTCTTGCAACTTTCAGTGGCACAGCGTTCAGTGTGATCTTTATTTTTAGCTCAGGAGCTCAATGCATATATCAGCACTGTACTGCGCAAGCACTGACACCCTCTCATGCTCTCATTCACAAGAATCTCTTCATTGTGTGTGTGAGGAGGGGGGGGGAGTGTGTGAGCACACAGGGAGGCAGGTCTTGGCTAAAGTTTATTAACTTTCTCTCAGCCAATGGGGTGCTTTGTGCGTTTTTCTTGCTGACCAATGGGACAGATTGAGAGGTTGGAGGTGGGTGTTGCTTAGCAACTGCAGGTAGAATCTCAGATCATGTCGGACCCATTGTTTTATCTCGCCTCCCTGAGAGACATTACATGCTATGTGTTGTCATTTGTTAGTTAAAAAAAACACACACACACACACGCCCTTGTGCAAATGCGTCACAAAGTTGTTAACTCTATTTCTGTATTGTTAAACAAAGATCACAGAGACTTTAATGGCATTTCACCCCCAACACGGAGCACTTTGTTGATTGATTGCCATAATGCTACTTTCTGCAACTGTCTTGTTTCATCTCCGTGCTGCTGCTGTAGATATTTGGGACATTTTTGTATGAATTCTGTTATTTGCCCCACATTTTAGAGCAATAGCCCTCTATGAACCTCATACAGAGTCAAAGCTGAACAGAGCCGGCAGAAAAGGCAACAAACAAAGAGGCTGCTTGCAGATGAAACATCCGCAATTGCCATATTTTTTATACCATATAAATACAGGAGAAGCGATGCACTTAGACGTGAGTGTTTATTCTAACTCTGATTAAAGGAATCTGGAGTGTGGAAAAACCCTCAAAAGACATTTGATTTGCATTTGCGCAGACCACAGGACATTGCAAATAATATCATACTACATGATCTCTCTCACAATGTTCCCGACTCTCACAATGTTGCGCGTCACAGCTGTGAACTTTTCATCCCCTGTCTAATTAGATGACCTGATATCTTAAAGCAATATGTCAGAGTGGAGCAACTTGTGGGGAGCTGACCACCAGCACTCTGTGTCCTTTTACCACTAATGGTGTGATTTCTTGGCTTCTGTTTTACCTCTTTTAGCCTGGAATTATATGTATGTGACCCAAAACTAATGATTATGTGCTTGATGTGTTAGCTCGTGGCTCCCTGTGTCACATGTGGATGTGGATATGCTGAAATTGAAGAGGAATACTCTGAGAACCAACCTTGATATCTCCTCCGCCAATTAAAATCAGTTTAAATAGGAAGACGTACTGCACAACCAGTTCGAAAGGCAAAACATGTAACATTTTTATTGATATAAGAATAGGTTTGATTGAATTTTTTTCTTTTTTTTTGGTTCTTTCAGCTGACAACCAGGCTTCAGCGGACAACCACATGAGAGCTGCTGCTGCTTGTCGTCATGCACCATGATGCTCAATGCAAATATTTAAATGAGGTTTATGGAAATATGAGGTATCCACCCTGCTTTGGTATGTAAAACAAGACCCTGAGGATTGTTGCTGACGCCATGACCCTCAGTGTCCACTACATCCCATTGTTGGAAGTAAAACAAAAGACATAAAACTACTGAATCAGATTAGCTTCGCTGTCCACTGAATTGTTGCACATACCGGGGGATACTCAGCCCAAAAGGCATTTTGAAGTATTGATTTTGGAGAAGGTAAGCCCTCATAGCTTTGCACTTAAACAAGTTCAGTGACAACTATTTGATTCCACAGTTTATTAGAATGCCTAACATTGTTAAGAATTTGTTTTTTCTTGGTTTGTTTGTTTTTTTATTTAATAAATATACAAGACATGACAAATTAAATGTCGTTTTGGACAAACTGAGCAACTTTCAAACAAACACTGGTTTGCTATGCCATGTCTAAGATATATGCCCAATTTATCTCTGTGGGAAAAAAAAAAAAGACAAGCACAATCGTGATGCTGGCTGTTGGTGTACTCACTCTGAAAAATAAGAAACGCTCATTCTTACAGCACCTTCTTTGTTAAATGTCACAAAATAATAGTTATTTACAGATCATACCTGCATTAGAGATTAATTGGATTACATGTATGTACTACATGTTTGCTTTGCACCGTCGCTTTTCACAGTTTGAATGATGTCTCGTGTTCAAATTTCTACCAACATTTGAATCTGCTAGCAACTACGGGAGGAAATAGATGTGGCAGCAAATATCTAGCTCCCTTTATCATTGCTCAGCTGACTGCTGACAGGACCTTGTGCAGTGGTAATCATGGGGGATGGGTGAGATTTACAGTTTCCTTTACCAGGTAATGTCTCCTGTTGCGAAATAATGTGACAGAAAATCAGTACATCTGTGATGGCTCAGCAGTGTTCTTTGCCCCTCTATATTCTCCTCCAGGAGCTTATCCGAAGCTCACCTCAAACATACCGTATGTAGCCTGTGGATGACTCATCCTCGAGAGAAAGAGCTGCATGGCGCAGGTAGACTTGCAAATAAACATTTCACGATTTGTAGAGTCTACTGAAGTACTTTGCTGACTTCAAGTCAAAACTCACCGACTGCAAATACAAACTCACAAACAGGTTCCTTTTTTTTATATTCTGTCTGCAGGATGCACACTGTAAAATAATCTCCTGTGTTATTATGTCTCCTCTGTGTTTCACAAGTGACTCTGATATCACTAAGACAGCGTCGAGAAGTCATTTTAGGCTTCATAGTCTTTGCCATGATGTTTATTGATACACCAAATTTGTCATCGTTGCTGCAAATTGCCATGGAGACAGTGTCCCAAACCTGCTAATATGATATAGTGCATGCTTATTTCCACAACTTATAGTAATACAGGAAATACTGTACACTGAGTGGATGGTTGACTCCTCCTCTTAGTGGATGATTTGGGAATATGCTCACATTGAAATGATCTCTGATTTCCCACAGCTTTTCGCTTCTGCTCCCTTCAAATGGCCTGTAAATTCCTCCCTAGTTACTCATTCCCTTTGCAGAATCTTGTAATTCAGTAGTCTTTGCATGTGCTGCTCATATCATAAAGTTTGTTATGATTGGGGGCGGGGTTGTTGTTCCCCACATGATTGCAAAGTGCTGTTTACATGCAAGTTATTTCAAGGTTTCTTAGATTTAAATCAGTTTTTACTCACCCTTTTCCTTTCTTCGGTCCAAAACAATTTGTAGTCTCAGGCAGGAACAAACTCTGATCAAGACTGTCAACGTAGAGGTGTTGTGTTGTAAAACATTTTTTGTTTTAATCACCAGAGTACAACAATGCACACGTTATTACTATTGGTGCGTGCTGGAAAAAGCCACAACATTTGAACATGGAAACCTAAGAACAATAGACTTTTTCAGATTGTTTGAGAGCTCCCACAGATAAGTGATTACTCTGTGCACAATTCAAGTATTT